GAATTTGCTCTGCTTCTTTTGTATCTGTGAAATGTATAACTGTTTAGTTGGAAAAGCAATTATAGGAGATGACATCAGTTTGTGTTATATAAGACATGGTCAGTTCTGTCACTGGATGTATTATATTAATGATTTTATTATTTTTTTTCTCCAGTGCTGTGGGAAAAACATGCCTTCTGATCAGCTACACCACCAATGCTTTTCCCGGGGAGTACATCCCTACTGTGTAAGCAGACCTTACTCTGACCCTGAGTTTCTTAAAGGGACAGTTCAGCCAAAGATTTATTTATTTTTACGCATACAATCACAATTTGAATCGCAGTCTTCCCAATTTTGAGATGTATCGAGAATATCCATATAAGCCTGTGGACTTATCTATTTGGACAATTTAAAAACATAGTATTGAATTAAACAATCAGTTGTCAATATGATACTTAAAACCGGAGTTAAACTTTAAAACATTGCTTAGTCTTCACTAGATATTAATAATAATAATTAAATATACATAGATTCTTATTAAGGCTACTAAAGTTATTCAGTCAAGAGTAGTGAGTCATTTTCTCTTTATCTTTTGTTGTTTGATTACCATTAGTGACACAGACAGCTGCAAGTATTTGCATTAGGCTTTAAGACTAAATGCATCTAATATACTTCCATGCATCTGATTTCTTTCCCAACTGTTTGTTCACTTAAGACTGATTGTTTTTATGTAAATACTCACCAAGACTGACATTTTGACGTTTTTGTTTATATTTGACAGTTTAGGCATGCGCCAGAAACCCCAAAGTAGGGCTGGGCGATATAGCTAAAAAAACCTCCCTGATGCCCGCAATTTATATACATTCGCCTATGCTTACCCAACAAAATAATTGTGAGAAAAAGTATTGAAATATTTTTTTTATCCTTCCATCTCGTAGGCTATTTATTCCCTTTAGGGTTTCCGTAGTACACTTAATTTCCTTTCCGAACACGGAACTGGGATGCGGCGGATTGCGGGAGGGAGGGTGGTGGGGGGGAGGAATCACGATGTCAGCTTAACATCGTGATGTCTGTCAGCCATCGGCGATGTACGATGGCATCGTCTATCGGCCCAACCCTACCCAGGCCCAAAGTATACTTTATTTGTCCGTGTTCTGCTCCGTCTCGGAGCACACGCAGAGAAAGCACCTGGGGAACAGATGTAGCAGCAACACATACATATATGTATACATTTTTTTTTTTATACATATGTATTAACTATATTTAAGCAGTGTGTAGTTAACCTATTGAGATATTTTAAACTGATCAAAATAAGAACTGTCGGATTTCCACCGGTATCGGCTGATACTCAAAGCTGCTGTATCGCTATCAGTATCAGACATGGAAAAAGTGGTATTGAGCCATCCCTAACCAATTAATTATTGTTTTGACTTTCATTAAAGGGTTTCCCATACATTGATTTATTTGTGGCGGCCCGCCACAATATCAACACTGACCGCCACAAATAGATTTTCCAAAATGCTTTGACTTTGTTGAATAAACATGAGCACTGGCCGTTTCAAAATCAAAATGCGGCACAGGTGTTTTTATATAAATGTATTTTTTTTGAAGGGAACCGATTGTCTTCAGAAACGTTTGAGCGCAGCACTGTTTTGATTACAGCCGTTACCAGGGAAACCGCTGTTTCTACCACTCTTAAAGCGCCTCCTGCTGGCAGAGAATGAATTTGCACTTTCAATAAGCCCATCAGCTGTTTTATATTTACATTATATACATATATATTTCCCACGGGGAAGTGCCGCCACACATAGAGTGTAAGTCTGTGGGAAAAACTGCATTATATTGACAGAAACCGTTGAAACATTCTTCCAAAGACCTTTTGCAGAAGTAAACGTCATACAGGTTTGGAACAAGTTTTTATTCATGAGTGAACTGTCCCTTTTAAGTCAACATGACATCAAAACTGACACCATTTACTTTAAAAACCAGCATTGCTGGTCTTGTTGTGCCAGTTTCATCTGTGCATGTTATTCAAAGTAAAAAAACAACTCTTAAATAATTCTTCAGAATGTAATAAATAGCTTCACCTCCTGTTTTTCACCTGCTTCATGTATCCCTTCTTTTCCTTTCCTTTCATCTACCTGACTCCATTAAGGTAGTCATTTCCCAATGGATAAAATTCATTTTTCCCCCATTGAATAACCTGTTTAACTCATATTTAAATTGAGTAATATCTCATTTTGAAGTTGCATTTCACATTAGTTTTAATATTCACCATATACCTGATCTGAATCCCTGAATCTTTTATTTAGGTTTGATAATTATTCTGCTAATGTGATGGTCGATGGAAAGCCGGTGAACCTGGGACTGTGGGATACAGCAGGGCAGGAGGATTACGACAGGCTTCGACCGCTTTCCTACCCTCAGACGGTACAATCATAATATTAGGGCTAAAACTGATGTCTCTCTCTCTCTCTCTCTCTCTATATATATATATACATACATACAGCATAGAATGACTTTGCATTCAATGGAAGCTCAACATTTCTGTTTTGGTTTCTTTAACAGTGGTATCCAGAGGTCAGACATCATTGTCCCAACACTCCGATAATCCTCGTTGGGACTAAGCTTGACCTAAGAGACGACAAGGACACTATTGAAAAGTTGAAAGAGAAGAAACTCACACCCATCACCTACCCTCAAGGCCTCGCTATGGCCAAAGAAATAGGTCAGCACTTCAGTTTTAAAATTGCTTACCCCACCTTTAATGAACAGATCAACATTTCGTAAAGGGTCAGTTCACCCAAAAATGAAAATTACCCCATGATTTACTCACCCTCAAGCCATCCTAGGTGTATATGAAATCTTCAAATGTGTGGCCAGCCTAAGTTTACCAGCCTTTTTAAAGGGTGGGTCCACTTTAAGTACTCTTGTATTCACGACAGGAGCTGTGAAGTACCTGGAATGCTCAGCCTTAACGCAGCGCGGCCTTAAGACGGTGTTCGATGAAGCCATCCGTGCGGTCCTGTGTCCGCCTCCGGTCAAGAAAGGAAAGAGGAGGTGTTTTGTCCTCTGAACTGACTGTACTCACAGCACCAGCTGCAATCTGAGCTCACCTGAGAGGAGAACAATGGAGGCGGGGATGATGGGAAATGTGTGTTGGAGAAGAAGAAAGATTCTGCACAGTGTATGCATTCAGATATTTCTCCCTCTTGCATTGTAATTAGAATTACGCCACTAACTAGCTGTTAAGATGCCAGATTATTTGCTTCCGAGAGATAGGGAGCGGCGCCCATAGTTATTTTCCTTCTCTACACTAAGAAATTCCTGCTGCCTTCTAATGATCTTATTTTCCACCTCATTTTGATGAACTAAATACTCCTTTCAGTGTATTTCTCCATCTTCGTGAGCCCATATATTTTGTTTACAATCTGCGTTTTTGTAGAAAATGAACTATTGCCAAAATTTAAAGCCTACAAGTTATCTATTTCAATTTGCTCACATTAACAATCTCATTTTTTCCTAAAGGTTTGGGGGGTGTTAATCATGCGTACTTGTAAGAGACAGAGATTGCTGTAATATTGAAGGAACTATTTTACAAGAGGACAGCTGAAGAAAACACTTTATTTTTTTGGTTTGTGTGTTACGGTTTCCATGCTAGAGAGTTTATTTTGTTTAACTGTATAAGAAACAGACCTAGTTAAAATGCATATAACAGCTTTTTGTCAGCATATAGCATATTTTCACTACTGTTTCTAAATATTCAGAAGAGCAGATCTCTAGTTTAATCTCTCTCTCTGTATTTTAATCAGTCTGTGGGAAGAGCCTGGCAGTTTTGTCCATTTTACAGTCCCAGTATTGTATTTAGACTACAGATCTACCAGTGCCTAGTAGCAGACTAGGGTTTTGTCAGAAATCTGAGTATGTTGGAAGTTTCTGTACTCTAGACACCTCAGCACTATGGCATGGGGTTCGTCTTCTTGAAAGATTCCCATGAACACTGTGCTAAATGTAGTGGATTCTTGAATTCAATAAATATTTGTTGTTAGGGTACAGACATAAAGTATTAAGCATTTAATTGGTCTTCAGACATGGTTCGAGAGGAAATGGTTCTAATTTGCCACATGGAATGTTTAATTTTGTCATTTTGACAGTTCTGTAACGTTTTAAAACATTTAAAATGCTTTATTCATGCCTTTATTGTCTCCACTAAAGCTACATGTATTAACCTTTATGTCTGAAAATAGAAACCAAATATAAAAACATTCGTCTTTGTCCTTTGTTTTCATGTATGCTTATTAGTTTCTTCACAGAACACTGGAATGTGACCAGGCACAGTGCGACAAATAATATGTCTATATATGACATATATGTGCTGCAGAGTTGATGTGTTTTTGTTGACCAACCCGGAAGTTAGCATCAGCCTGGTTCGCTCGACCATAATCCAGTAGGTTTTTTCCATTGGTTTTTGGATTATTGCAGAAAATGCGTAATATGACCAACAAAAGTTTATGGTTCTTCCATGTTTTGTTCATCATAATCTTCACAAACGAACACAGCTTTATGAATTTTAAAGGCTAGATACAATTGCCAGAAGTAAAATGCTACATATATCAAATGAAACCGCAATCACAAGACCATCATTAAGCTTCCAATGACTTTCAATCTTTATTTAAAGAAATTTCTTAAAAAGTTTGAGTTTAAATAGTTTGGTGTGATGTTTAATGTCCCCAACAACCTCTTGTTAGCAACCGCTTTTTTCAAGAAAAGTAAAAGCTTTAAAAAAAAAATCACAAAGGTGTATTACTGATGTATTATGTCATAGAATAAAATGCGAAATATCTTGAGCTTGTGTTAAACCACAGACCTTATTTCAGGCATTTAACAAAAAAACAAAAAACATTCTAAATAAACCCATCAACTTAAGGGCGATTGAACCAGAAGTGCTAAAATGCTAACTCGTTTTCGGGTTTTGGCCAACAAAAATGTCATCCCTGCAGCACTCTATTAATGATGCTACAAAATGTGTAAAAAAAAAAAAAAGTGATGATTGCAATTAGTGTGGCTATTTTTTGCAGACTAAAAGTAATTTACCGATTAATCTTTACAAGCATGAGAGCAGTTTGCTCTCATAATCAATGATCAGGGTAAAGATGCCGCCCTCATGGCAGACAAGACAATTGTGCAATGAGTGGAGGAAGCTGTGCTGTTTGGTTCTTCAGTGTTCGCTGTTCCACTTCTCCAGCACAAGTTTTGCTGAGACGGCATCTTGTATCCCCATTCCTGCATTTAAAAATAATGCAAAATATCCAACTAGTCATAACAAATAGCTTTGTTTCAACTAACATTGACAAATGCATCATTCCAGGACTAATTAGTGCTTTCTAAGAAACATCAGAAAATAATAACAGACAGCTTCCTATGAATAAACTCTGACATGACATTCCCAAATTTGAATTATAACTGGCTGAAGATCAGCAGGGGTTGCTTAAGCTTGCATAATAAAACTTATACATAGAAATACTTCCTTTTTGTCTCTTGAGAGGACTGAAATGCAAGCATCAAGATTTTTAAGGCACTGCTACTACTTTCTATCAGTGGTGAGAATGCATTTGTTTATTTTCAGTACATCTTGTTCTTCATTTTTTTTAGATTGCAGCTGTGGAAAAACAAGTTACCCAGTGACTTGAATACCGTAGTCTTCTCACGCTGAGCAGGAAAAGATCCATTTATAACTTCTCCGAGCTCCGAGAAAACTTCAGCCTGGGCAGATAATGAGCATGTAAAATATTTAGGGATTTGGATGTATTATATGTATGACTGAGCCAAATTTATTGATGGAAAGTAATGCATACTCCAGACAGAATGATGTCTCCTGACTCTGCTGTCGCCCCCTCTCTGCAGTCCACGTACACCACAGCCTCTCTCATCAAAACATCATCCAGCTCCCTCCAGTCTGGCCGACAAGCGCCCACCGCTGTCACAAAATAGAGCACCACGATAGATAAATACACAATGTAGTAACTATGATGTGGACTTGTTCAAGTTGGTCATGCAAATTTGCTGCATTGACCAACAGTAAGCAGCTTGGTTTGAAAGTGACTTCTGTGGAAGCTGTGCTTCGTTCATCGCTATACTATTGACAATAATGGATCATTTTTGCCTGCAAAATATCTCTGAAATTACGCTCACGTAACTGCATCTAAACAGCATTTTTTTGTCATGACTATATTCTAAATATAACATGGCCTCTTGTACCTTATTGGTTAAATGCCTCACAAAATATCTCTGTTGGAAATCTGTGGACCAGCTGACCTGCTATGTGTGCACCTGGTTTGACCCACTCGCCAAAGAGTATCGGCTGACTTGCACCTGTGGCAGTCACTATTACATCAGCTCCTATCACCGCCTCTTTCACTGAAGAACAAACTGTTACAGGGCCTTGGAGATCAGTAACAAACCGTTGAGCCATTTCTTTCCTTCTGCTCCACACACGGACCTGAAGTGCATACAACAACACTGGATTACACACACACACAAACAGTTTTTGTGTGACTTGGACATATTTCCTATTTTCATACTGGTTACCTCTTTGAACTTGAAGAGCTTTGTAAAGACATCATAGTGGCTTCTAGCCTGTTGTCCTGAACCAAGGATGCACAACACCTCTGAAAGAGCTGGCTTGAACAGCTGGAGAGAACAAAAATAAAACATTTTCAGAATAAGTGACTTTATAAATATTACACCATTACAAATCTAGGGTCTGAGAAACCTACTTTAGCTGATATGGCTGATACTGCTGCGGTTCGTTTGGCTGTGATGGCCTCCCCATCCATGATCTGACATTAGAGATACAGTTACAGAACTAAAGTATTTCTAGAGCATTTTTAACCTCTATATTTAAATAAATCAATTAAATAAAAATATAAAAAATATTTTTGTACACCAAATCATAGGGTGCCACACAATTAATATTACAATTATATTTGTAAATAATAATAATAAATACAACCAAGCATATTTTTGAAATCAAGGGTTATGATATGTTATATATATATAAACATTTTCCTTAGATACTTGATTCATATTGGAGATGTATATATATATATATATATATACTGTATATGTATATGTGACCCTGCCTGTGAAAACCCAGCTAAAGTCTTTTTTTGTGATTTACTGTTTTCTATATAAAATCATCCTTTATAAAGATGTAAAGAACATTCTGTGAAAATAACCTTAGTTTATATCTTTAATATTGACTGATAAAGGCCATGTCAAAGATTGAAATCATAGTGAAATTAATGGTTGAAACAATATGAATCAAGTATCTAAGGAAAATGTCATTATTTTTTTACTTTAATGGTTTCAGTATACTGTTACTGATTTTTTTTTTTTTTTTTTACATCCAAGTCATTAATAAAAATTCAATTCATACATCAAAAAATCTATTCAATATAAACAATCATAAACTCTTGAAAAGAAAACCTTACTGAGAATAAAAAGAAAACCATACTACCTTAAAAAATAAACAAGTAAATAAAAATCTGCTTCACTGCTTAATATTTGAAAAACTTTTGTAAACCAAATCAAAGTCGTGGTCCAAACACGCAGAGGGAGAAAAAAACATAAAACACTGTAGATTCTTATACGTTATTGTCCTAGATAACAACTGAGTAAATCCCAGGCACGAACAGACGTGTTTAGGAGATGATGGTAAACCGTTTGCCAAATAAATGATGTTTGTGTGGCTCACCGCTGTCACATGGCCATGCTCGGGATGAAACAGCAACACTGTGGCTCGAGTTGATGGTACACTGGAGCCCTCTTCACGTTGGTAGAAAGTCACCATTTTAGTGCATAAAATGCCCTCAGCGGGCAAATATGCAGGCATCACGCCCAAAAACCTGAAAAATACATCGTGTTTATTTCTATAGGTATATGTCAGTAAGCGTTAGTGATATTTCGAGATATGGATTTCTTCATCATACCCACTGTGTTGTTGTATAAGGACCACAGACCTCACAGGCTGGATTATTTCTGAACTGCCCCGTTTAGAAAACTTTCCCATGACAGACTCCAGTCTGGGAATCAGATCATCGTAAGTGAGCAAACGCTCGACCTCATGTTTGTTTAATGAAACGGCAGACTCGCTCATAGCTGTTTCACCCGTCTATCTGTCTGTCTGACTGTCTTGAGACTTCTGTTTGTTGTGGACTTTAGTTTCTCAGTCACGTGGTTCGCTAGAATCAAATGAGCATTTTCCTTCTCATTGTATCAAAATAAAAACTCTTCATACAAAACTAAAAATATATATATATTTTTTTTAATTGTTACTTTTTAATGGTGAAGGCATGACAATTACACGTCGTCATATTAAATGCGCACAAATCTACATAACAAAAATAAACCGAAGGTGTGACGTCGCATCTTATATTTCTTTCTTTAGATTAGCAGCTCACTACTGGCTGGCAATTGTCATCTATCGTCAAAGATATGCAACAAAATTTATAAACAACGTAAATGTAGTGTAAAAATCGTTGGTTCTTATTTGTAAATCGCTTAGATTTTAAGTACTTCACGAAAAAAAAGAAAAAAGTTTGAGAGGGGGTTCAATCTTCAACTGGCTGGCAGGAGCCGCCACTGTTTGTCACTTTAGACATTTGCAAAATGTCTGTTGAACTGATTCTTATCTTATTGGCAGTAAGATTAAATGCCTCATGTTTGTTGACTTTCATTTCAGATGGCTTCTGAAAGTTATCTAGAATAAAACACTGAAAAAGGTTAAAATAGTTTAATTCAACCAAAAACAGTTTGTGCATGTAACACATCATGCAAATGTTGCATAATTTGTGAATGCCTGCAGCCGTTACATGGGAAAATAAGTACTACGTAATAGAACCAAAAACCTGCGGTATTGATTTTATATACCAAATTCTTCATTCACAATATTCACAACTCATTATGATCTGCTTTTGTTTGTGTACATCTGACAGTATTTATTGTAGTTTTATATTTATATGGAGGGGAAAAGACATGCAACATTTTTCACTTTGCATTAGGTAACAACAGAAAAATGGTAACTATTTAATTCCATTTTAAAAATGCCAATGTATTAATGTTAGATGTGTAGTATTGTACATCTATCAAGCACAAACAACCCACACAAATCATCATTTGATTTTAACCGAACTTTATTTCGGCTGTCAATTGCTGAGGAACAACACACTCAACATTGTTTGATTCTAACAAACAAAAAGAAAAAAAATCCTTGAGGATTGTACAAAGAAATCATTTATAAAACCTGAAAACAAATGTGTAAGTATGAGCTCAAACTAGGAGTCTTTCAATAGCCATCTGCACAGACTGAATCTGAGGTTTCAGCTGCGATCCCTCCTTAATGGTGACTGATGTGGCAATGACTGGTCTTGACACTCCACATGCGCGTCCAAGAGCCTGTTTAGAGCGCACAAACACATACGGCACGTTCTTATCCTCACACAGCAGCGGCAGGTGCAGGATGATCTCTAGAGGTTCAGCATCAGCCGCCATCACAATGAACTCAGAAATCCCACGGTTAAGAGTTTTGGTGGCTGTGGAAGACAATGAAAAATCAGAGCTGGCGAAAGTAACATTCACAATATGTAGAAAATTAGTCACTTGAAATTACACTCAAGTCACTCATTTCGCTGATTAAAGCTTTGTTTTGACTTTGTTTCCCATTCTCAATAACCACACAGCTTGAAAGGGCAAGTTTTAAAGGGGTCATATGACATTGCTAAAAAGAGCATTTTGTGTATTTGGTGTAATGCAATGCAATGCGTTTATGCGGTTTAAGGTAAAAAAAATAAAATAAAATAAAAACATTTTCCATATAATGTACATTATTGTTTCTCCTCTATGCCCCGCCTTTCTGAAACACGTCGATTTTTACAAAGCTCATCGTTCTGAAAAAGCAAGGTGTGCTCTAATTGGCCAGCTATCCAGTGCACTGTGATTGGCCGAATACCTCAAGCGTGTGACGGAAATGTTACGCCCCTTACCATACTGTGATGCCGTCTCCCAGCAGGACGAGACTCAGTCCAACTGCTCTGCTCGTACACATCCCATCATCGGTTCTCTTTTAGCAGTTCAGTCAATGTACTGTTAGGAGTAACTGAATAACTCGGGATATTGGTTTATTTCGCGTCAGAGGGAGTGTCAGGCACGTTTATAAACCGAATAACTTAAGTAATTTGTGGATTAATGCGTACTGGAGACGCGAACCGTTTCAAACGATTCAGTTCGATTTGGTGAACTGGTTCGACCGGTTCACTAAGAAGATCCGGTTAAATAGAACGATTCGTTCG